CTTAAGCAAATGAATAAACAAGAAAGGAATGCTAGAGTCGAGCGAGCTCAACTCTTAAATACCCTGCACCCACTCACGCAAAAAAAGAAAAAATTAAAAAGTAATATTTAAAAAATTAATTTTAAAAACTTAATTCATTAAATTAATGAATTAAAGTAAATAAAAAGTATTCATTACATACATACATAAGTGGAGACATATGTTTATGTACAGTTACAACAGCACACATTTACATCAGAATCGTGTCTATGCGTGTTTGTACGCATGTATCTTTGCACTCCAGAATTAATTCGGGCTAAGGAGAATCTGTATACCAAGTTTCGCTATTCTAGCTCGTATACTTTCCGAGATCCTTGCGTTCATACAGGTTAAATCTTAGGAATAATTGTGTAAAATTGCAATTAGGTATCACAAGTAGTAATAACACGTCAATAATAACACGTGTATGAATATTCACTTCGGTACTCTGCCCACAAAGTGCAGCATCAAGTTCGCTCTTCTTCTTCTTTTTGCTCCTGCTATAGGTGTATATAACACAGTGCCGCAAGTTTGTTATTGCACTGGTCGGGCTTGCTCGACTGTAGCGTTCTTTCTTGTATTATTATACCCGGTATATGAAATGTAGAAGAGTATATTAGGTTTGCGGGAGGTGAAAAATGTAAGAAGGAGAAGGAGGCGCGGTAGACCCCAAAAAGCATTCAGCATTATAAGACGAGCCGATCTATGTATGTCCGTCTGTCCGTAGCTCTACACCAGATTTTGCAAATTTTCATCCCCACAACCCCAATAATGGGGATTTTCCACGATCCCTTATATGAATACGCAGAAAATGTGTATTTCGGAATTTCCTTTCCTTCCCCTCTTTCCCTCCCCCCTCTTTCCGGCAATTAGTGATTTTCCATAAATTCCGTAATTCATAGAATTTTTGACCCAAATTCGGCAAATACCTTCAATTAGAATATGTGTATGTGAAGTTATAGCCACATACATATGTGCTCTCTGGCCAAACACTGCCCGCAGCTGTTCTTGTTGTTGCTGCTTTGTACAGGCACACGAGATACACACATACTGACACAGAAACGCAAAGACTCACATAGATACAATTCTTATGTAAATATGCAGTTATACAAGTACATCCCTTACGTGAGTTTGAATACCCAAGAAGGTATAATCGATCAAAAAAATGCACTTTGCAACGTATTTCGATAAATTTTGATTTCAGTTTCAACTTCAACCTTCCAATCTCCACTAACTATAGCAAGAGTTAGGGAATTCTTCGAATTATTAAACTTAAATTTAAAAGTAAATTACAGTGTAATTCTATACTTGAAAATTATTCAATGCATTCGGTTTTTTCGTTACTCATGATTTATGCACGAGTATTAGCTTAATTTTAATAATTAATAATACCAATTTAAAGAAATATTTTGAAAACATTTTGCTCAAATTTCTGCCTTTAAAATTTGAGTTTGTGAATAGAATTTCTCTTGCATTTTCTGACGAGATTCATAGTGAGGGGAATCCAAATACGAATAACAGACATGCACAAAAGTATGCTGATTAGAGTGCTTGTGGTGCTCTGGGGAGGAACTTAGTATTAATGGGTACGTGTAGCATGTGTGAACACTTCTCGTTGCGCATACGCCATGTTGTTTCATAATTATAAGTTAAATACGACAGTTTTATATAAAAATCTACTAGTAAATCAAAGTGCGCGCGCGCCTGGCAATTAAGTGCAAAGAAACGTAACAGCGGTGGTCGTTGGACGCTGCTCGGTGGTGCAATGTGGTGCTGGTGCTGGTGCGGTGCAGCGTTGTGTAGTGCGGTGCAGTGCGGTGGTGCAGTCAGCCAAGCACGTCGCGCCAGCCAAGCGAACTGTCAATTATAACCAATCGCACACCAAGTGCACATTAAACCCTATCAACTGTTTTTGTAATTTATTGTTTGGTTTTTCTACAAGTCGCATTTGGTGCGAGATCCGCATAGCAGCATGCTGGGCGACGTTGGCTTCAGCGTCGGCGTCAGCGTCAGCATCGACGTCGTCGTCATCGTCGGCGGCGACGGCGACGGCTACTGCGACTTCTCTGCAGTGGAGAGTGAAGCAAAGACTTTAAGCTTAACTTGGCCGCTTTGGCCTCATCATAATTATCGGCTGCACGTTCGCAGCGATGCGTTCAACGAGGCAAGCTGCAAGGCTGGCAACAAGGCAACAAGGCAACAAGGCAACTAGGCAACTAGGCAGGCACACATGCAACAGTAACTGCAACAAAAACACCAACAACTCCAACTCTGGCAGACAGAGTCAAATGAGCAGTTTATGGCCGCAACGACCATTTGAAGACGCGCTGCGTTTGTTAAGAGGAAGGAGAGAAGTTGAAGTTGGCAAGCATCGGTGTGCGTCTTTGCTGGCATCGGCATCAGCATCAGCATCGGTCGCCAGTGTGCCACTCGGGGCAACATTCACTTTTTTTATTGCACCACTTTGGCAATACCACAAGTGTGATTTCAAATCTCTGGGTCGGCCAGCCACTAAATTGGTAGAAATATGAAGTCAGCGTGCATTTCGGTAAAAGCGGTGATTATTTTTCGCAGGAGAATGGCCGTTTTAGACAAAAAAAATATCTACATACATACTCGTACGTGCATACATACATACATATGTACATATATGACAGATACCCGTGCAGACAGACAGATTGGACGCGCTCGTCTGCAGACAGAAGGACTGGCGGACCTGTCTGCAACAACAACAACGGCAGCAGCAGCAACATGAAGAAAAACAGCTGCAGACCACGTAGTGCACATTAGCATATGGCACTTGGTCCCTTCTAAGCGCAATTGCAAATGGGGCAACAGCTACAGTAACAACAACAACAACAAGAACAACACTGTGGGCTGACGTTGATGGCCAGTTCAATTAAATGCCATCAATTTTAATAACGCGCCGGTAACGGCACACGATTGAGTGCTTGGCCCGTGCCCAACCCGTCCCGCTTCGGTCCACTCTATTGCTACCTTGGGCGCTGCAAACAAAACGTCGGCTTCGAAATTACAAATGCATCAGTGGGGCAGCGACTGGAGACTGCTCATGCGCATGCGCAAGCGCATGTGTAGACAGCGACTGTCCAACGCACTTGAAGCACTTGAGGCTAAAACAAGCGAGTGAGCGAGCTGGAGACCAAGTCCAAGTCTTTTCACAGCTCAGCTGAGCAGTTGACGGTCAGTTGGGATTGTAGGTTGGTCGATATGTTGGTCGGTTAGTTGCATGCCCTCGGACATATAGTTGCGGGTTGGTTCAGACACACAGCACTTAAGCATGGGTCACTAGTACAGTTTAGGAAGCACCATAAAGGAGCTGAACAACAAATTGATTTCATAGCAAAAATGGGACAACTCGTGTTGCTTCCTCATATTTGTAGCACACACATAACAGCCCCGTCTAGTTGCTCCTCCCTAACTAAGTCCGCAGAATATACATAGTCTCTTCAAAATTTGAAGCATAAATTATTCTGATATCTAGTCGCACATATGCTATGTATTATATTATATTTCAAGATGCGAAGTCATCGGATCTTCTAGTCTGTCACTAAGGCCGAGGCTAGATGTAGAAAGAGAAATTCCTTTATTTTTATTTCAGAAAACTGAAACAGTATTCAAAAACAATTTTCTGAAACAGCAACTTTTACGTAAATGCAGTTTAGCTTATAAGTATTTTATAGGTAATCAGATGTATCTGTTCTCATATCGCTTCCATGTTTTAACCCGGAATCAAGAGGTGGACGAGTGAGCGTTTATACATATTTCTAAGAAAATAACAATAAGGATCCTTATTGAAAATTCTTACATCAAAGGAAGTGCAATAATTGATGCACTCAGTAGCTAAGTGACGAGGATACATTTTAAGAAACCAATAACCCAACCAAAGTGGGTTTCTTTAGAATAATAATGAAACAGCATTTGATTTCGCAGCCAAATTTTTTGATTTAAATTACAAATGGTTCGCATGTGTATAAGCGTGTCGAAACAATTCCACACCTCAAACATTTCGGCATTCATACTTGTATATATATAAATATTTCAGCCCAATTAAATACAGACTGAATTTCAAGGAATGCGAGAATTAGTGACTGATTGATTTAAGCAAAATTTACAAATAAATGGTTCAAATTCGAGCATATATATTGTGAGAGCATTATTTGAAGCAATGATATCTTCGAGTGGCACACAAATTTGTTCGATTGTACCTCCACCTTCTGCCTTAAAGACAAGTGGAAGGGCCTGAAGATAAAGCGCACATACTGCTTGCGCAACTTCATATGGTCTGGGTATAGTGTTTATAGAGCACCCTTAGAAATCGACTAGACTATTAACTGAACGGCAGACGCAGAGCAGTCAAGTGGGCAATCGGCAGCCGTCTGCCAGATTGCCAGCTGTCGCCAATTGATGTCGCGGGCGCCAAAATCGACACACTTGTCCCAACGTACAACTGGCAGTTGGAGTCGCAGTCGAAGAGCAAGTCGCGATCGACGCTCAAGTACAGGCTAAATGGATCACGACTGCACGGATTTAGTGTCTGTCTGGCCTGGTCGGGTCTGGTCTGGCCTGCCTTCGTTTGGTTTGGCTTGGTTTGGTCTCTCTGAGGCTATAAAATACGCGACATGCAAACGTTTTTGATGCAATGAGGCAGTTGAGCTAAGCGGGCCGAGGCTATATCTGCCTGCCAGCCTGGCCCGGCCGAAATTAGGAAATTGTGTAAAACTGTTAACTGACAAGGCAAAGTGTTCCAGACAGTTGCAAGCGTTTCTGATTTGACTGCGCGCGTCTGCGGCGGTCGTTGCTGATTTTTATGCCAATACATTTACGAGTCTCATTAGGTTTTGTGGCAGTAGCAACGACGTCGTCGCTCATAAAAACATCCAACCCATTCCCACTCCCATTCTCATTCCACCACATGCTAAACCGTTTTGCTAAATGAATTCCAATTGATTTTACAATTTCAGCCAGCACATCGCATGGGATCAGCACCAACAGCAGCAGCAGCAGCAGCAGTAAAACAAGCGCCACCAAAGCCGCCACCAGTAAAGGCACTACCACCACTACCAGCAACAACAGCTATAGCAGCAATGGAAAGCATTCGACGGCGACACGCACTTCATCCTCATCCTCGACAGCTGCCAACTATGGCCTGGGAGTGGGAGCCTTTGGAAGGCAGCAGGCCAGCCCGTCGGCTCTGTATGCGCCTCATGCGGCGGCCGCCGTTTCCAAATTGCCATTCTCGCCATTTTTTGCCGCATCGCCATTTTTTTTCACCTACCGACGCATCAGCAAGCAGGAGGACAATAACAACAGCTGCGGCTATGTTAACCACAATAGCAACAACAACAACAGCAGCAGCAGCGTCGGCGGCGGCGCCAGCTGCAACAATAATAGCAATAATGGCAGCAGCCGGGCCTCGTCCATGTCCTCGTCCGGCCTGCAACAGCAGCGCACGCTCATGCAGGACTACGATCGCAAGTTTAGCCTTCTGAGCCTATTCAAGAATCCCTACAAGTTTGCTGATAGCCAAGGTCCGAGGAAGACTCCCTCCAGCAGTGGCGGCAGCAGCAACAAGACGGCGCTGTCGGCTGCACCTGCGAGCTGCACTCCCAGCTGGAAGAGCTACGCGGCCTCCGGCTCGGCGCATGCGGCGCTTAATCCCGCCTTCGGGGGTGTGGGCGTGGGCAAGGACAGCAGCAGCTTCAGCGGCATTAACTTTGGCGCCGGCAGCAGCGCAGGCGCGCCCTTCAGTCGTGCCGAAGCATCGGCCAATGGCTACAATGATCTCTCCAAGAACCGAAAGGTACACAAGTGCGACACAGAGGGTTGCGACAAGGTCTACACCAAGAGTTCGCATCTCAAGGCGCACAAGCGTACGCACACGGGTGAGTCATCAAGCCCCAGCTAATGCCAGCTCTAAAATGTAATATCAGTAAGACCTGCAAGAAATCTAATCCAAATCAGTCTCTTTCGGGATCTCTTGCAATCATTTCTGTCGAATTCCAATTTCTACACTTAGAAAGAAAAACATACATACATCGGCAGTTGTTAGCATATGTGTAGGTTTTTATATTCTAAAACAACCACAGCTCATATCTTGCATTCGCATCGAGTTCTCAAGTTTTGTATTGCAGGGTATACACAAAGGGAAATACATACTAGTTTAGTGCGAATGTACTCGTATGTAACCCCCAGAAGGAGGCCCCATAATGTATATATATTTTTGATCAGTTCATACTCGATATGTCTATCTGTCTGACCGTCTGTCCGTATGCACACCTGGATCAAAGAGATTAGAAGAGCTAGAGACACAAAATTTTACGCACAGATGTCCTTTATGTATATGCAATACAAGTGTATTTCAAAATTCTCCTTCTTCCACTCCTTAAGCAGCTCTTTGCACCTCTTGCTACAACTGTACCCTCTGTACCCTCGGATCCTTTTGACTCCAGCATTCCTTTTCGGTTTCAATTTTTGCATGCACAGGGTTTTTATTTCATTCTAATTTGGTACAGAGAATCTTTAAAAAGCTCCATTTTCGATTAAGAACACATTAGCTAATGCCTCTCGTACCTAGAGTTACTAGAGTTACTTGACGGAATCTACAATTTCTCCATAAAGCTATAATGCTAATGGGGGTTAGCATACAATAATATTCATGCAATATTTAAAGCGGAATTTTACATATAGTATATTGAGAAACTGTAATTTACTGAGAAGTAAAGTACAAGTATTATGGCGATTCTATTATATTGCAATACAATTTGAAAAGGGGTCTAAATTTCCAGCGCCGCATAGTATAGAATTAGGTTATGCTAAACTGTACATATGATATTCTGATTATTTTTGAACACTTTCCAAAAATATCAAAACATCTCTAAATAGGAAGAACCAAACGAGAGATTATGAATGTCTAGTATTATTGTCAGCTTTATTATGGGGCCTGGCCTTGTTGAATAATGTCGAATTCGTTTCTTCTTGATCGCAAGACCTGATTGGATCTTCCTGATTGGATCTTCCTTGTTATATTTGAGAATTTTTCCTGTTACCAGTGGAACATAGCGATTGCGTAGCTGCATTTTATCTATCGGTGCTTTTTTTTTTACTAATCTCATTGTTTAAGTGTACATTTGTTGGAAATGTTATCTAAATGTGGCAGGTTTACCAATGCATTCTGATGCAAGATTTCCCTTTTGATATAATCATATCATATAATCATGCGTTAGATGTATTTCATCAAATTTGGTGCTCATTTGCATCAACTTCAGAGTCTAATTGGAGACGCTGTATTAGTGATTTAGAAAAATATAGCCAATTAACAATACACACTCTGTAGAAGAATGTGTGTATATTTTGTTTTAATCATTTTCCTTGTCTACTTGCAGGTGAGAAGCCCTATGTGTGCACCTGGGAGGGCTGCATCTGGCGCTTTGCGCGCTCCGACGAACTGACGCGCCACTATCGGAAGCATACGGGTGTAAAGCCCTTTCGTTGCCAGCTGTGCACGCGATCCTTCAGCCGTTCCGATCACCTCTCGCTCCACATGCGCCGCCACTGAGCGGGCAGCCATATATGAAGCCTATAGCCTACTTCCACACCATGTAGAGAATACTCATTGATGGAGGCCATGGAGAAGGGCCCTTCGTGCCTTTTACCTTTGTGCTTGTTTACTCGTTCTCTCGTTTACTTGATTCTCTTTTTATTTATAATTCTTTCATCGTGCATCCAATTCAATATCCATAATTCCTAAGTAGCTCAATTTAGATGTGTATGTCGGGCTCAAAGCCCAAATCTAGCCGTAAGACGTAGTTTTTAGAGGAAAATTTGTAAAATTTGTTGGGTCCAAGCCGCGTTGCCTTCAGAAGCCAAGTTACGAAAAACAACGGAAACTACGACATGATAAATCGACCTACTATCATTATACATACATACATATAGTATATACACGCATATCTGTATGTATGGAATACTACGATAACGATTTTAGATTGGTGCTAGCAACTTGTGTGTGTACATACGCGATACGTTATACATATCCATAGCCTGTAGAAAGATTTTAACTAATTTTAGCAGAAATTTTATTGGACTATAAGTAGAAAATTTTTATACGAGCCGCAACAAAAGAGGCAGGAAGACAGAAGCCAAGCAATATTTATATATAAGACTCTCTCTCATATACATACTATACAAATACGTTAACGATATGTATGGAATGTGTGCTCTGTGGTTTGTTACTGGCATTCAAATTTATTCGATCTATTCGATCTGTGCATTGAAATTAATTATGCTTGTCAAATTTTGCTGATTTTACATTACAATTTGTTGAACGCTAATTGTTGCTAATGAGATCAGTTGACTAATTTTCATTATTTCCAGTTTCTGGAAAATTACGTTAAAGGTCAGTACTTTTATGAATGTATTGATTTTTCAATGCGGACTTCATAGTTTTCCACCTGTAGACTTCTACAAAAGAACCTCAAAAATTTTAATGGAACCAGCTCTACAGAATAATTGATAATCGCTTTGAGGATCGCAACTGGAAGCGATACATAAATTGTATTTAGAACTGCTACATTTCTTTTGGAATGTCGTTAGTTTTTTCATCGTTTAATTACATTTTATTTGCATATCGAAACCTACCACCCGGATTAGACGAGAGATGTCGTTCTCGATTAACATCTCTACTTGCAATCGAATTAATATTCGCATGATAATGAATCTAAAGAATGAACTAAACGAAACTCTTATTCAGTTTTTTGATATGTTTTTTTAATTTGGGTCCACCAATATTCCAATTCGTTGTATCGAGACACTTTAAAACAATATTGTTTAGAGTGGCCCCGAAAATATGCATTTAAGCAATTCTCTAAAACCATTGCTATCCTTGAAGCGTTTCACCAACCAAATCAATATCTGCGAACTTTTTTTGACAATTTCTTATGCCAAGTAACGACCCGGGCTGTGCAACTGCCGCATAGATTTACAAATAGCAGCCAGAAAAAACTATAACTACAACTACAACAACAACAACTAAAAGAACTAAAAGAGCTAAAAAAAAAATCCGAACAAAGTGAAGTTTGAATTTTTGTACGCCAATACCTTTAACATCCATACCATTTTTTGCTGAAATAAACTTTTTGTATTATATATACGAGTACACATGTCTACATATCTACATAGCTATGCATATTTTTACAATAAAAACAACAATAGCGGCAGCAGCAGCATCAACTGAGCGAAGAAGAAAAGCAAACAAACGTGCGCTCATTAGGCCGCCGCATACCAAAAGCTGAAGCTAAAGCCCCGTCGCACAGGCCAGATCCGTAGTGGATTTAAATGAAAAATCAATTGAGGCGCACAATAGCTGACCAGTGGCTGTTGCTTGCTGTGGTTGTTGGAAGGAGTACGGAGTACGGAGTGCGGTGTTTGGCAAGTAGACAGTGGTTGCCGCACAGAGCTGCAGCCCAGGCGCGGGTCCAACATAATATGTGTGGCAAGTTGTCAGCGCAGTCGCTTTGTGTGTGCGTGCGACGCGCCCACTGTGGACGCAGGAGGGGCGAGCTCTGAGAGTGAGTCCACTACCAAGACTAAGACTTAGACTCGGACTCTGGGCACGCATGCGCCAATTGTCCAGGGGAGTATTGTCGATGGCGATGGTCGTTTGTCGTCGGTTGCTGTTGCCGCTGCCGCTGCTGTCGTTTGTCGTGCACGTTGTTTGCAATAATAAAGATGACAAATTTCTCGTCATTTGTAATTTCAATGCAATGCCGATTCCGATTCCGATGTCGACGCTGCAGTAGCGGCTTTGGCTTTTTGCTAATACGCCTAACCAGTTCATTGTGGGAGCAGGAGCCGGAGTTGTGGTGGTGGAAGGAACAGCAGAGTGGTGGGTTGACGGAAATGCGGCACAATGCGATCCTGCTCACACCTGCAACGGAAATTGTTAGCGCAATGCCACAAAATGGGCGACGATGCGCTGCATTAGTGAAATATTACGTATACGCTCAGTAATTTATGAGCAGATTAGCAAGCAGTAGAAGAGATGTGGTGGACCCGGGATGGGAGGAGGGCAGAGAGCAGTAGCACATGAGGCATGAGGTATGAGGCATGACGACAGACAGTAGCAGATTGTCGATTGCCACTGCTGTACATATAATACATATTCATGGCTAAAGGTTAGACAAATATAACAGACCGGTTTCATTCGGCCATTAATTAATGTGCCTTGGGTCAGGTCAACATTTGAGGCGACGATAATGATGATGCTGCTGTTGTCGTTCGGTCAGGTTTTAGTTTAATGACCTGAAAAGCTGGCACAGCTCAAGTAAAATGCAAATGAGTAAAAGTAAGGCAACACCAACAACATATACGAGCATAGAGTCTTGAAAACGGACTCCGAATTGGACTGCGGCATAAATCACAGCTCGCACAACTCATTAAAAACTAATAAAGTCGAAGTTATGTACACAGACAGACGCCATATGGACGCCAATACAAAACGTGTACAATGTCCATCAGTTCACTAAACGAGAAAACCAAAGACATCGCGAAGAAAAGAAAAAAGAGGTACAACGAATATAATCAATGAGCAGCAACTACAACTGCATCTGCAACTGCAACTTGAACTGCTGCCAGTTGCAATGTGTTGCACTGCCTCTGTCGGCAAATGTCTGTCGCCGAAAAAAACCGAAAAGCGACTTTGGCTTTCGCTCTAATAACCAAATTGGCCAGTCAGCAACGACGGCTCGACGAATCAGCCAGGCTGGCAGGCCACTCGTCTCAGGCATTGAGGCACTGAGGCACTTGGTCTTCGACGATGTTGGCCCCTTGTTGATGTTGTTGTTGTTGCTGTTGTTGCACTCGTACTCGTCCATTTTTAATTTATTGTTATGCCTTTTTGCTGCTTTTTGCTGCCGCTTTGGCTGCTGCTGGTCGGCAGGTCATGCGGAATTTATGAAACGGCTGCCGGCCGGCCGGCTGTCTGGCTGGCCGACTGGCTGGCCGGCCAACCTTAAAGCGACGGCATTCAATTTTTGAGACACATTTGGACTGTCGCAACTGCGGGCGCTGAAGTCGATGTCGGCGCTGCCTTCGCCGCTGCCTCCTGCCTGTCCAGTATTTGATTTGTGATCGATTGTGTGTCGTTACTTTTCGACATGGCATGAAATCTTTGACACCTAACGGTACCAGGCAAGCGTCACAGTCGCACAGCAGTGGGTGCCTTTGCCTTTTAGCTTCTGATTCAGCGTCAGCGTCAGCGGCAGCTTCGGCTTCAGCTTCTCCATTAAATTGGACCAGTGGCCGACGACATTCACGTCTCCGAGATGTCAGCGCTCACTGGCTAAAGTGTTGGCAGTTTTGCCATTTATTTTACAGGTGAGTGAGTATAATAGACAGTCCAAATGGGCCTTGGAAGCAACAGCAGCAGCACCAGCAGCACCAACAGCACGTCCATGTCCACATCCACATCCACGTCCACAAGCCATAGCCACATCCATAGCCATAGCCATGTGTACATCGACGACCATGTCAGTTGCGGCATGCTGCGCGCTTTGGCTCAATTAAAACGGCCTGAGCCGCTGCCTCATTTGACAATTGGCAGAGTCAGAGCCAGAGTAAGAGCCAAAGCCAAATAAAGGTAATGGCAGCGCTCAGAATCGAGCTCGGACGATGAAACCACCTTCTGTACCGTTTTGTTTGCTAGTGTGTTTAATTTTGTAAGCAAAAATGTTTAAATTAAAATTCCCATCACACCGTAAAACCCATAAATCATCTTTTATCTAACCGAGTCTATCGGCGCATGCGCGCGCGCCAATTTGGTCTGCGCAGCTTTTCTGGCAGCAGGAAAAAGTCGCAGTCGTCTGCTTCACCGCTCGTACGCTCCGTCCTCTTGCATCCGTATGTTTCCATGAGTCTGTGTCTGTGTGTGTGGATGCCGCCTGAAATTGCTTGGCTGCCTTAATGAGAATTTAATATTTTTCAATAAAAATTTGTAAAAGGCGCGTTAGCTTGTTCGCCCCACTGCCTGCCTAGTTGGAGTTGATGCCGATAGTCGGACCTGATGCTGATGCTGAAGCTGAAGCCGAAGTTGGAGCAGCAGCCGTAGTCGCAGCTCTGGGGCCGCCTGATCGTGTGTGTGCCTCGTTTTGTGTGTTTGGCTATTAACGCACTTTGTTTGCCGCCATTTAGCTGCCCATCGAACGAGGCAGTGGCGTGGCAACGAAGGCTGATACTTCTTATGATGCAAGTGCCACGGCATGTTGCAACTGTCTGACATGATTGTCATAATAAAATTTCTGACATGACATTTTTACTGCTCCAATTCACTTTTAATGTAAACAAGTACTCGGATTATTAAAGCGTTTAATATCGCTACTTAAGATTGCCTCTAAATGGTTTTAATTAGTTGATGATCACAGGAGCTGGATAGAAAATTGAATAGAAAAGAATACAAATAGAAAATATTAAGCATTTCAGTAATTTGGTGGTAAGTCATCGGCAGGTAAGGTTTTCTCTATAAAATCTACAATAAATGTAATATATTTTTGTAAATAATTT